TTGCATAATCAGGAGGCTTCTTGGAATAATTTCCCACATCGCAACTCAGTGGGTTTTACTTTAAGAAACATGATTTCAAAGCACTTTGATCCAGCCTGAAATTACTATCTAAACAGTATACATTGTAGTCACAGAAGGGTCTTGTGGTACAATGGCAGTATCCCTGCCTTTGGGCCAAGAGGCCTAGCTTCAAGTACCATCTGCCCCAGGGGCATGTCACACAGTCATAGAGTCCTACAGCACGGAGACAGGCCCTTCAGCCCAAACTGGTCCATGCCGACCAAAATGTCCATCCACACTAACCCCATTTCCCTGCACTTGGCCCATATCCTTCTAAACCTTTCCTATCCATGTATTTGTCCAAATGCTTTTTAAATGTTGTTAATGTACCCACCTCAACCACTTCCACTGCAGTTCATTCCATATGTGTGCCACCCTCTGTAAAAAAAAGTTACCCCTCAGGTTCCCATGTATTCTTTCCCCTCTTACCTTAAACTGATGTCCTCTCGTCCTCGATTCACCAACCCTGGGAAAAAGACTGAGTGCATTCACCCTATCCATGCCTTTCATGATCTTATACACTTCTATAAGATTCCCCCTTAGTCTCCTACGCTCTAAAGAAACAAGTCCTAGCTTGTCCAATCTCTCCTGATAACCCAGTCCTTTGAGTCCTGGCAACATCCTTGTAAATTTCTTCTGTACTCTTTCTAGTCTAATACCATCCTTCCTATAGCAAGGTGACCAAAACTGAACACGATACTCCAAGTATGGCCTCACCAACATCCTGTACAACCGTAACATAACTTCCCAACTTCTATACTCAATGCCCTGACTGATGAAGATCAGTGTGCCAAAAGCCTTCTTCACTGCCCTGTCTACCTATGACTCCACTTTCAGAGAACTGTGCACCTGAACTCCAAGGTCCCTCTGTTCCAATACACACCTTAAGGACCTACCATTCGCCATGAAACTCCTGCCTGGATTTGACTTTCCAAAATGCAACACCTCACACTTATTTATATTAAACTCCGATTGCCATTTCTCATCCCACTCCCCCAACTGATTAAGATCTTACAGCAATTTACGATAACCTTCCTCACTGTCCATGATACCACCTATTTTAGTGTCATCCACAAACTTACTAATGATGCCTTGTACATTCTCATCCAAATCATCGATATAGATAACAAACAGCAATGGGCCCAGCACTGACCCCTGAGGCACACACTAGTCACAGGCCTCCAGTCCGACAAGCATCCTTCCATTATTACCCTCTGCTTCCTACCATCAAGCTAATTGTGTATCCAATTTTCCAGCTCTCCCTGGATTCCATGCAATCTAACCTTCCAGAGCAGCCTACCATGTGGAACCTTACCAAAGGCCTTACTGAAATCCATATAGACTACATCTACTGCCCTGCCCTCGTCAACCTTCCTGGTCACTTCATCAAAGAACTCTAACAAATTTGTGAGGCATGATCTCCCACACATGAAGCCATGCTGACTACTCCTAAATAAACCCTGTCTTTCCAAATGCATGTATATCTTATCCCTCAGAATCTTCTCCACTAATTTACCTACCATAAGCTCACTTTACCATGGTCTATAATTCCCAGGTTTTTCTTTGCAGCCTTTCTTGAATAAGGGCACAACATTCGCTACCCTCCAGCCTTCCGGGACCTCACCTGTGGCTAATGATGATGCAAATATATCAGCCAAGGCCCCTGCAATTTCTTCTCTAGCCTCTTGCAGGATTCTTGGATATATATGGACCAGGGGATTTATCCACCTTCATACATTCTAATACTTCCAATACATCGTCGACTGCGTTATGGACTGTCCCCAAGATATTGTCACCAACGTCCCCAAGTTCCCAAGTCTTCATGTCTTTCTCCATGGTAAACACAGAGGAGAAATATTCATTGAGGACCTCACCCATATCCTGTGGTTCCACAAATACATGTCCACTTTGGTCCTTGAGGGGTCCTATTCTCTCTCTAGTTATTCTTTTTCCATTAATACACTTAAAGAGTCACTTTGGATTCACCCTAATCTTCTCAGTTAAAGCTACCTCGTGCCCCCTTTCACCTTCCTAATTTCCTTCTTCAGTAAACTCCTGTATCCCCTATATATCTCCAGGGATTCCTTTGATCCCAGTTGCCTGTACCTGAGCCATGCCTCCTCCATTTTTCTGGTCAAAGCCTCAACATCTCTTGTTATCCAGGATTCCCTACTCCTGCCAACCTTGCCCTTCACCCTCACAGGAACATACAGACCTTGAACTCTAGCTATCACACTTTTAAAGGCCTCACACTTGCCAGAGGTCCCTTTACCTGCAAACAAACTACTCCAACCAACCCCTGCAAATTTCTGTCCAATTCCAAAAAAAATTCACCTTGCCCCAATTTAGAACTTGAACCTGTGGACCAGTTTTGTCCTTCTCCATAACTATTTTAAAATTAATAGAACTATGGTCACTGGTCCCAAAGTGCTCCCCCACTGTCACCTCAGTCACCTGTCCTGCCCTATTTCCGAGGAGTAGGTCGAGCTTTGCCCCTTGCCGAGTAGAACCCTCGATATACTGCCTGAGGAAACTTTGCTGAACACATATAACAAAAATTCCACCCCATCTAAACCCTTAACACTATGGCCCAGTCTATGTTAGGAAAATTAAAACCCCCCACTGCGACAACCCTATTGCTCCTGCAAGTCTCCACAATCTCCCTGCGTATTTGTTCCTCTAATTCCCATTGACTATTTGGGAGCCTGTAACATAACCCCAATAATGTCACCATCCCCTTCTTATTGCTTAGCTCCACCAACAAAGCCTCACTGGATGATCCCTCGGTTATTTAATCTCTGACTCCTGCTGTGATACTCCCCTTAATCAAAAATGCAACTCCCCCTCCCCTCTTCCCTCCACCGTTGTCCTGCCTAAAGCACCTGTACCCGGCACATTAAGCTGCTGGTCCTGTCCCTCCCTTAGCCATGTTTCTGTAATGGCTTTAATATCCCAGCCCCACGTACCTATCCGTGCCCTGACTTCATCGATCTTACCTATCAGCCCTCTTGCATTGAAATAGATGTAATTCAACCCAACAGGCATTCCTCACTCCCTGTCCTATCCCAGCCTGACCTGTCTCTTCAACTTGCTATTTCTGATTACTGTATCTCCTCCCAGCCTCACACTTGCCTTCCTGCTGTTGAGGATCCCAACCCCTGCCATGTCTTGTCATGTCTGAACAGGTTAATTAAAATAACAATGTTCCATTCCCTCCAGCTTGGTAACTGGTTATCCTTAAATCAGTTAAAGCCAGATTATCAGGGCACTTTTACCTTCACTGTGCTTGTGGGGCTTGGCTGTGCATCAGTGGCTGTGATTGTTTACCTGTGTTAGAGCAGTACCTACACTTCAGAAGTGGCTTTGCAATATCCTCAATACCATTCACATGCAAGTCCTGTCATGTCACAGGGAGAAAATATCTTGCATGACAACATTGCCCTCTCCATGTTGAATGTGGGTGTGCCATGTTTTGTAGGGTGACAAGGATCCACTTTGAAAGGAGGTGAATGTTTTCTCAGAGCAAATGTGAAATATGGATTGACAGACTGAAACCAGGAGGCAATATGTAAATTACTTTGACAGTTAGTCATTAATATGAAACCGCTACATAGAAATAAATAAATTTCCCTCATGATATGTGAAGATTTGAAGCAAATGGGAACCTGTTCAAAGATCAGTTTGAAATTAACAGATTTGTTTATAAATCTATTTATTGACTAACACTGCATCACTAGAATTTCACTCTGAACATTGCTTTAAAAATAACAGGTCATATTTAAATCATTTCCAGTTTGTCAGGCACATTGGCATGAAAATAATCAGACTGAGTACTTTGAGTTAAAATTACAACTTGGTCCCAACAATTAATCTTTTTTTGTGTGTAGATGATGAACACAATGTGAGAGTATCACAATTATCTGAACAGTGTTTTAAAAAAACTAACTTCGAATTCCTGATATATTTTAGAGCAAAGCGGTAAAATCTCCTTTTTCCCTTTTCACACTTTGCAAGCTACTGCCTCATTCAACGAGCAGAGTGAGAATGGTGGGAGCTGTCAGTAACTGTGACAATAACTTAAAACAACCACCAAACTGAGTGCAGCCCAGGGAGCAGCTTTTGATGTCAATTTCTGCTCTGCCACCTTGAGTGAAATCCCACTATCTCAGGGCATTCCACCAAACTGTAGCAGTCAGGCCAAACAGACAAACATGAAACTAGTTTACACCAGACATAGTAGTCTGGAACAGGCTTAATTAACACATTCCTTTCTCTGCTTTTCGAATAGAAACACCAGGCTGTCTTAAACATTCTCTTAAAATTTCATGGAATCAAAAGCTATTCAGGAGCAGTGTTGATATCACATTATTAACTATTTACTTAGCAACATAGTTCACTTTACTTGGATGTCACCTTAGCAGCAGGAAGCTGTTATGGCATCATTAATTTACACAGACATGCCTAAAGCTTACACTGGAATCGTTTGTTTCAGAACTTTTTATGGAAGATCCTACGATTCTATTGAAGGAAACGTGAGCTTCTGTTTACAGTACTGTGAAGTGGGACCATCACATGAGGCAGTTTACTTGTGGGTTTGTTTCTTCCAGTGAACTATACCACACTAGGCATGCAATCTCCATTGTAATGTATTCATATTGTTCTGTCTTTTTGCTACTGGGTAACTAATGTGCAACAGGCTGAGAGATGTGTGTCAGTAAGTGGTCATAGTGGGCTGTGCCATTTTGCTTCAAAAGACAAAATGTTATGGCATTTACACAGGCATGTAGGCACTAGCCCACTGGGGAAATCTGAAGTAAAGGTGAAAAAATACTGGAGAAGCTCAGCAGGCCTGGCAGTGTCTGTGGAGAGAGAAGCAGCGTTAACATTTCAAGTCCAGCATGACTCTTAGTTAGACTTGACACGAGATGTTAGCACTGCTTCTCTCTCCACAGGTACTGTCAGATCTGCTAGGTTCCTCCAGCACTCCCTGTTTTTGTTATGGGGCACTATCCCAGTTGTGTAGACACTTGGGGCCATAATAAACACATGTTAGGGCAGGCAATACAACCCTCTGTTCCATTCAATATGATCATGGCCAATCTTCTGCCTCAACTCCAATCTGTTCCCATAGCCCCCTCAATTCTCCTGATACCCAAGAATTTATTGATCCCCATCTTAAATATACCTGGTGAGTGACCATCCAGAACACACTGGGTGAAAGAATTCCAGCTATTCCCAACCCTTCAGGTCATGAAATTTCTTCTCAGTTCAGTTCTAAATGATTGAGATCTCATTCCGAGACCGTGACCTATATTCCAGATAGCCAAGGGAAACATTTTCACAAAACCAGCCCTGTCAAAACCCGAAATAAAAACCAAAAGAACTGCAGATGCTGTAAATCAGGAAGGGTCACCGGACCCGAAACATTAACTCTGTTTTCTCCTTCACAGATGCTGCCAGACCTGCTGAGCTCTCCCAGCAACTTTGTTTTTATTCCTGTCAAAACCCTTATGAATATTATACATTCCAGTGAGATCAATTGATCTTGCAATGGGATTGACTCCCACTAGTTGGAATCTGTACATACTCATCTGCAGGGTGTGGTCCTCTGCAAACACAAGGAATGTGTCCAGGGGGCACCATTATTGCCTGGTGCACCTTACTGTACAATAAATTGTTGTTCCCTTTGAAATTCGGCGCTCCTGCACCTGTCCTGATGAGAGTAAAACAAGAATGCTTTGTCATGTCTCTCTTTTTCAGCAGTAAGCAATTCTGTACCATCACCTTTACCAGATTGTCACAGTTTAAAGGGTGAAGGCTGAGCAGGAACAATCAAGCAACAACAGTTCAACAAAGTTTCTAATGCAACAATCAGAAAAAATGATAGATGTACATCATGAGAATGACAACATATTCATGTTCATTACAAATGTTTTCCATCTGAGCATTTGATAAAATCAGGAGAAAATGTTAAAAGCAGCAGGACAAATATTCATCTTCACATTTACAATCTCACTCAAATTCAACTTAACAAGTGTGCCCACCCCTACTGGGACGTGTAGTTACTCAGGAGATGGTCTTTCCAGGTAAGTGCTACACACTTGCTCTATGTTGTTCCACTGGTATTTTCTTATTTTCATTATTGCTGTTGCCAAGGTAAGGAAAAACACACTGCAAGCCAGAGTAATTAGAAACGCACTCCATACCAGCCAGTGAGAGAAGTCCCATCCTGAAATATTGAAGGGACATAGAGCAGATTAAAAAGACTGAAACATCTTTAAAACATGAAATCTTTTGTCTTCAACAAATTAATCCTTCCAACTTTCTGTTATAGAGTTAAATCAAAATGTTCAACTTTTTTGACCCTTGGCTGCATGTCCAAAATTTCTAAGACATCCAGCTTAATCTTGTCAATTTAGCAAATAGTTTCATGATTTTTTTAATTGTTCATAGAATGAGGGTGTCACTGGCTTGGCCAGCCTTTCCTCAAAAGTTAAGAGTCAGGCCAGTTAAGAGTCAACCACATTGCTGTGGGTCTGGAGTCACATGGAGACCAGACCAGGTAAGGATGGCAGATATCCTTCCCTAAAGGACATTAATGAACCAGATAGGTTTTGACCTTAGTTTCATTGTTCCCAGTGGATTAGCCTTTAAAAAATATTAGATTATGTTAATTAAGTTTAAGTGTCACCACCTGCACATTGAGCCCAGTGCATTAACCTGGGTGTCAGGATCATTATCTGGTCACACTGTTCCTGGGCCACCACATCCTTGTAAATTATAAACTGTAGAAGGATGGGATGTAATTGCTGGTGGTAAAATGGTGTCTTGCGCTCACACAATTGTTTTATTATTTCAAATAACCCAAGTTTTAAACAACACTGTATTTTCAAAAGGAATCATAAATTTGGTGTTGATGCATTTTCTGCTTCGACTGACAACCAGTGCATTTCAGTGAGAGCTCACTGTTGCAGCTGTTAAATTGTCATGTTACAAACCTACAGCAGCACCCCGCAGTAACTTGAACTCTACCTGCATAATTATAGAATCTGCAGAGATCACATTCCAACCTGCCTCTGCTTCGTTTAGTTACAAACACAAGCCCACATTCACAACTAAAGGATAAACACTCAAAAACTAAAGTCAGAAATTAAGACATTTCTTTCGTAAAAGGCTGACTGATATTTCAAACTGAAACCCAGTGCAGGTGTTCAAACAGGAAACCGCAGTTTAAAAAGGAAACAGTCAAATACCTTCCTGCTATTTGATTCATCCTTAATTCATTTCAGAAATGATATTGAATCATATTGTGTAATCTCACAGGAAAGAACAGGGATGACTAGGTGGACAGGCCAGAGAAACTGATGTTTTCTGCTTGAAATGTTTAATTCATGGTTTTCCTCTAAGTTTTGCCTGAAATCTATTTCCCAAACTTACAGACAGAAACAAAGTTCTGAATCAAGTTGAGAGAGAGGGAGGGAGAGTGTATAAACCCTGTCAGATCACAGCGAGAGAGAGGAAGGGAGAGTGTTTAAACCCTGTCAAGTCACAGAGAGAGAGAGGGAGAGAGAGAGAGAGTGGGAGAGAAAGAGAGAGGGAGTTTAACCTCATCGGGTCAGAGAGAGTTTCAAGCCACAGCTTCAGGGCAGCTTTGGCAGTTGGGCAGATAATTTTCCTGCTCTCCTGCCTGGGGTATTGTGAGTTGGACAAGGGATGGAATAAAACTGATCAAACAAAGATGGATGCATCACATTTGACACACGTCTGTTCCCATGAGTTTTCATAATCCAGGATCTGTGTGTCCCCCAACCCGGATTTCTGACACATCCCCCAATTACTATCACTCTGTCCTGGGACCAGTACCTTCAGCTGCGTGACTCCAAATCTCTGGAATTCTCTTCTCAAGACCTCTTCACGTCTCCACCCCATTTTCCTCCTTTTAGTTATTCCTTGAACCTGTCTCTTTGACGGAGCCTTTGGTCACCCAATATCTGCAAATGCAGCTCAGTGTTAAAGTTTGTTTGAAAGCCTTGAACATTAAAGGTGCTTTATAAAGGCAGGTTGTTGTTGCAATCATTTCACTGCTCACATTCATGGAGTCATTCCACATAACAGCAATTTACTTTTCACTTTGAAACTCTTATCGTTCTCACAAATCTAAAGGTGGAAATGACAAATGGCCAACTTTCCGAAATCAGTTTCAATTCAATTTTCAATGATTCACCTTCTTCTATCCAAATCAGAAAGATCCCACGATTTATTCAGTTCCTGATTGGCTGTTTGGTGTGGAAGTGGAGACTGCTTTCTCAATTATTGTTAGTAACTTCCCTCATTCAGAGTTCTGAGGGTGAATCTTCAATTCCTGGAGACTCAGAGACAACTCTGGAGGGTTAGCAGCCTCTCTGTGAGAGAAAACCATTCGGGACTCTTCATCCTGAATTAGTTTGTGCCTAATTGCAGCAAGAACTGGCCAGTATCCAGGTCTGGGCTAGTAAGTGGCAAGTAACATTCGAGGCACACAATGACCAACTCAAACAAGAGGGAATCTAACCATTGTCCCTTGATGTTCAATCATGTTACCATCCCTGAATCCCTCACTATCAACATCCTGGAGGTTACCATTGACCAGAAACTCAACTGGACTCTTGCCACATAAACACAGCAGCTACAAGAGCTGACAAGAGGTTAGGTGGTAGGAATCCTGCAGTGGGGAACTTACCTCCTGACTCCCCAAATCCTGTCTACCATTGACAAGGCACAAGGCAGGAGTGTGATGGAATACTCCCCATTTGCCTGGATGGGTGCAGCTCCAACAACACTCAAGAAGCTTGACACCATCCAGGACAAAGCAGCCCGCTTGATTGGCCCTGCATCCACAAGCATCCACTCCCTCCATTACTGAAGCTCGATAGCAGCAGTGTGTACTATCTACAAGGAGCACTGTGGAAATTCACCATTCCCATTCTTTCAGCATGCCTGAAATCAGTGACAGTTGGCTAGCTATTGAACTGTGATGCCATGGTGCTGTTGGTACACATGCCCCTTCCCAGTTGAGCTCACTGGGTGGCAACCAGAACAAAACTCAGGTCTCATTGTCCTTCACAACCCGAAAACCAAATATAGGGTTCTAATTGGCCAACTCAGCAAACATGGAGTTTCTGAGACTTCCCGTTCAAACTCTCCCAGCCTTTACCAATGCAGTCACATGTACACAGTGTTGTTACACCCTCTGCAGAGAAAACATACAGTAAATCCTTCCTTCCCATCCATGTCCTCCCACACCTGCTCCCCAACCAGACACTCTTGGCCTTCAGGAGGGTCATAATATGGAGATGCCGGTGTTGGACTGGGGTGGACAAGGTCAGAAATCACACGACACCAGGTTATAGTCCGACAGGTTCGTTTGAAAACACAAGCTTTCAGAGTCTCACTCCTTCTTCAGGTGTTAGTGAGAGAGATGGCATCAGACACAGAATTTATAAGTAAAAGATCAAGGGTTCACATCACTGATGAGGATGTACTAGACATCAGCAAGAACTGGCCAGTATCAGATAGTGCCTAAGATGCTGATAAATCTTTAATCAGTTAGAATTGAATAATATGTGTATATAAATCCCCAAATTTCTTTTAAGTCATGGTCCTGAGCGAACTAAAGGTTTTAACAGTGTAAAGAAGAAATGATATTTTAGGTGACATTTTAAAACAAAAACAGATTCTAAACAAGATCTCACACCTAACATGCATTGTCTGACCTAAAATGTCACTTATGCTTCACACTAATAAAACCTTCAGTTCTTTCAGGAGGGTCAGGCAGCTAATGCAAACCCTGCAGCACAATACACAACCTAGTCCAAACACTTCTATGTTTTGTTACTCCTGGTCTCTGTGTTGTAATGTGCTGACAGACCCTTCACAAAGCAGTGAGGTTGAGATCAGGCACACAGAGGAGCGAATGTGTACACATCAATCTGCAGCATACTTCATTGATCCTGTACAGAACACTATATTGATGCAGTATGGAACACAGTATAGACACTGAACAGAAAATGTATCAATCAAGTACAGCACACTATATTTATGCTGTTGATCATATTTTATTGGTCATATACAGCACTCTGTATTGATCATATATAGCACACTATATTGATGCTGTACAGCATCCTGCATTGATCATACATAGCACACTGTATTGATGCTGTATAGCACTCTGTATTGATCATATATACCACACTGCATTGATCATATACAGCCCTCTGTATTGATCATGTACAGCACTCTGTATTGATGCTGTACAGTACTCTGTATTGATCATATATAGCACACTGTCTTGATGCTGTATAGCACTCTGTATTGATCATATATAGCAAACTGCATTGATCATATACAGCACACTGTATTGATCATATACAGCACATTGTATTGATGCTGTAGACTACACTGTATTGATCATATACAGCACACTGTATTGATGCTGTAGAGCAAACTGTATTAATCATATACAGTACACTGCTGCCTGTAGTGTCTGCTGATGGAAAGACATCACAGGAACACCTTTCAATAAGTGACTGAAGCTTAGTGAAAGAGGTCAGTTTTTAATGAAGGTGTTAAAGGAAGTGAAACAGGTAAAAGAGGATTAGGGAGGAAACTGCAGAGCTGGGGGCCCTAGTTGAAGGCACAGCCACAAATAGTGGAGTGATGGGGAGGGGGGAATGCTGTAGAGATTGGGATTGATGGAGGGACTGGAGGAAATGACAGAGATAGGAAATGGGTGAGGTGGTATCATGGGGGGTTTGAAAACCAGGATGAGGTTTCTAATACAAACACACAGTCTCACTGTGAGCCCGTGTGGGTTAGTGAGAACAGGGGCTGCTGACTGAATGTATGGGTCTTGGGGACTGAGGCAGATATATTTGTTCTGGCAATTCACATTAGAGCAGATCAGCCAAATGCAACAGGGCCCTGTCTGTCCCAGGGTGAAGCTGTTGATAAAGCCCCTTTTGAATAGGCTCAGAAATGGCATCTCCCTGCTCTATTACATAAACACACAGGACAGCAGGCTTAACTGCTTGGTTAAGGGGGATGGCAGCTGTAACCTCACTACTTCTTTAACCAAGTCCACAGAATCTCCTTTATTTGTATTCTGGGAGCTCTTAAAACTGTGTATGATTACTTTGACACCTTCTGTGAACCAACATTAGTAATGTTCCTTTTTAACTGTCAGTTTTGATAATGGATGGAATCTGGGTTGTTGTAAGTTATTTGTGGTGTCAGCAACATTTATCATTATTTGCTGTTTCTCTGCATCCTTGACCAGGTTCAGTTCAGGACTGATTACGGCCCTAATTTCGGGAGCTCTGCACTGTATCTGTTCAGTGGCTGCCGATAGCCAGGGAGATTCCACTGGTCTGCTATCACAACTCTCTCGTTGTAAGTGAAGAAACTGTCATTTTAATAAATTGTCACATTTCAGCACATGATCCAGAAGGTGTGGCTGCAAGGGCAGTGGAAACATTAACTTTTAAAACAAGGACCTGCACAAATACCTGCAGAAAGGGAAGGAATCACTAGTATATGGTAAAGAATAAATGCGTGTGGGTGGTGGGGTTGTTGTGTGTGCGTGTGTGTGTGTGTCTGTGTGTGCCTGTGTGTTTGTGCGTGTGTGCCTGTGTGCGCGCACTTGTGTTTGTGTCTGTGTGTGCATGTGTGTGTGTGTCTGTGTGTGTGTGTGTGTGTCTCCGCGTGTGCGTATGTGTGTGTGTGTCTGTGTCTGTGTGTGTTTGTGTCTGTGTGTGTGTGCGTGAGCATGTGTGTGTGTCTATGTGTGTGTGCATGTGTGTCTGTGTGCGCTCGCGAGCGTGTGTGGGTGTCAGTGTGTGCATGTGTGTGTCTCTGTGTATGTGTGTGTGTGTGTATGTGTGTGTGTGTGTGTGCATGTGCAGATGTGTGTGTGTGTCTGTGTGTGTGTCTCTGTCTGTCTGTATGTGGGAGGGTGGGGTAGTGTGGAGGGGGTTGCTGTGTGTGTGTATGTGTGGTGTGTATATGTCTGTGTGTGTGTGTGTGTGTGTGTGTGTCTGTCTGTATGTGGGAGGGTGGGACAGTGTGGAAGGGGATCGTGTGCTTGTGTGTGTGTGTGTGTGTGTGTGTCTGTGTGTGTGTATGTAGGTGTGTGTGTGTATTTAAGTGTGTGTGTGTGTGTGTGTGTCTGTGCGCGCGCGCATGTGTGTATATGTAGGTGTGTGTGTGTCTCTCT